TTATAATTTTTGATCTATGCGTTATATAGGGATATTTATAAATTTTCTGAACTATCATTTATTTTACGCCATCTTAAATATGCCTTTCTGATTCCTTTTCGTTAGCTATACACGTGGTGAGTCTATATTTTTCGTTTATAATATCGAATATTAGATTTTTTATTTATTATATAGTTTAATAATAGTAAAATAAATATATAGTTTAATAATTATGAACTATTTCTCTAAAAATAATTTAAAGATTTAATAATTTGAATAAATAATTTCTTATTTTATTTAATAATTTTATAGGTTAATATATAGTTATCAATTTCCAAAATTGTATTTCCAATATGTATTTATATAAATAAAATTATTATAAAAATTTTAATATGTTACTGTTTTAGATAATTCACTATGTCGTCTCATTTAAATTGGATGATTATCCGTAACAATAATGCGTTCCTCTTAAAAAAACGCAATATTAACAAACCATTTTCAACGGTTTGTACATGTTTTATTAAAGTTATTTAAAATTTTATTTTAAATTTTTTTTCTTTATATATTTTTTTCATTATTTTTTTTGAATCTTCTTTCATCAATTTATAAATTGATATATAATATAAAATTTTAGGAATCTAACAATTTGACCAATTTGAGTAGCTACCGTTATTCTGGTTTGATTCATAGAAAAAGTGTTGGTATTGTTGATACATCTGATAAGAAAGGATTTACAGTAGTTTATAAAAAAGCTAAAGCTATGAATAAGCCTGCAAAAGCTACAGTTCGATGCACAATGAAAGCTGGAGCTCGTCGTTCTTTATATAAATTAAAAAGATTGCTTACAAAAAATAAATATCGTGTAGATCTTACTAAGGTAGATTTATTTGAAATATAAGATAAAATTTGTTTGTGATAAAGATTTAAAAAATTTATCAATATGATAAAAATGAATTATTTTTAGGTTGCATTACGTCGTGCTAGTGCTGTGTTGCGCTCCCAAAAGCCTTTACCTGCTAAGAAGACTCGAACAACAAAAAAGGCTGATTAATTTGTATATTAATAAATATACATTTTAATATAAATTTACAGATGTGATATATATTGTAAAAAAGATTTATTAATTGTTTATCAATTCTGAAATTTTTTTTTATGTATAAATTAATTTATTTAATTGAATTACTATAAATTAAAATTTAAATTTAAAAGCTTTAATATTAGTTGATATTTCTTCTTTGCAATTATATCTAATATATTTATTTTAAAAGTCCTAAACAAAAAGATTATATAAAGTAATTATATATAACTATATATATATTTGAAAGGTAAGTTATATAATTTAATTATTTTAAAGATGTATATAAATAATAGTTATATTTTTGATTTCAGCATTCATAAATAGAGGTTGGATAAAAATCATTTTTATGTAAGTATGTTTATATTTGTTAATTTTCTTATAATAAATTATAATTATTTATTATTTTATTATTTTAATGAATTATTTTGTATATAATTATCATAATTATTTTTATCCATTAAGATATAATAATCTATGAATATTATAATTATTTATTTTATTTATTATGCAGATTATATTAATATCTGCTAACTGAAATCTATATAAATTAGAATATAAATAAATAATATATTAAATAAAATATTTTTATAAAGATTAAAATAAAAATTAAGATACTAATTTT